AAAAGACATACAGAAGCTTTGCTTAGGCACGTTTCCTAATCTACACCTGTTCTCCACACACACATAATAATATTGAGAGACTTATAATCACACTCGCACAGACTTAAATGTCACAGATTGAATGATCAGTTTTCTAATTAAAAACTAAATTTGAGTTTCAAGTGGCATTATCTCCTAAAATTACACATTCAGCATATGATGATTAATATTCAGCGCAATTTCAAGAGAGCTGTCATTTAAAAGGCCAGACTATTCAGGCATGGTTGCGTGCGTGTGTTTAATTAAGGTAGGTGGAGTCCATCTGTCATGCTCCTCCAACTCCTGTCTTTTATAAGCACCACCTTTGCTTTATCTTTTTTTTTCTCCTTTTTTTTTCTCTCTCCACACGCTCTTTTTATTCTCTCTGCTTTCTTTCCTTTTAACCTCTCTCCCAGGAGGAAGTCTGATCTTTAAGAGGAGAGTGTAAAAAAGATAGAGACCATGAAATTTTCATTACTTATATGTGTCATGTATGAGGACTGCAAGTGTGCCAAGCATCTGTGAGGGGGAGAGAGTAAGATGGAGACGCACTCTGACAGCGGCAGAGCTCAGCTAGCAAACACTGCAACTACCTGTCAGCTAGAAGAAGAGATGGGGAAGAGAGCAACGATGGACAGCAGACATGTGGATGCTGAAAAATGATTTTGTTTTCTGCATGTGTGGTTTATTGTGCTGTCTGTGTGTAAAGGCAATGTTCTCCATCAGTTCCTGAGGGAATCCTTTTTTTTTTCTTCCAACTGCCGAATGTTCACCACCCATTTACTAATTTGGTCTGTTTTCTGTGTTGTGCTGGGCAGGTACAGTGAGTTCATCAGAGGATTTCTGATAAAAACAACTGCCATCTGCAGCTTTAAACGAGGCTGATTAGGGTTGGTGAGACTGATGCAAAATATAAAAACATATTTAATTATCTGTTATACAGATAATATTGCAACACAAAAATTAATGATTAGCGCAACTTTAAAGTATCATACTTGAAAGCTGATATACTTATATAGTCACCAAACACTGGGCCAACACTCACCAATGACCTCATCAATAAGCATTTGAATTTGTGATATTACCCCCCCCCCCCCCAAAAAAAAACCCTTGACCTTTAATTCTTTCCACCATCTGCTATTTTTTGACGCTGAATTACAAAGATCAACAGAGGCTGTCAGGCGTGTCTGCTTGCCACTCCATTTAAAGTCAGCATCCAAAATGGCATATGCTGCTTGTCCAAAATAACATAATGCAACCCAACACACTAACGAATAGTTATGTCTATAACTTCTGTTCCCTGAAGGAGAGGAACGAGGTACAACACATAAGTATGGGACATATATACACGCTCCGCAGAGCAGCCACCGAACCGGAATCGGACCACCACATCCTTAGTGAGTGGTAGACCCAGCAGAAAGGACAGCATGAGCCACCGAAGGGGCTGTAACGTCCAACCGATAAAACCGCACAAAAATGTGCGGTGATGCCCAACTAGCTGCCGCACAAATATCAGCTACAGGCACCCCTTTAAAAAGAGCCCATGAGGATGCCAACCCCCTGGTGGAATGAGCCCACACCCGTGGGGTAAAGCAAGACCTTTGGTGCCGTATACCAGTGAGATAGCTTCTATAATCCAGTGGGACAACCTCTGTTTGGACAGAGCTCTACCTCTATTTGGATTAGACAAACAGACAAACAGCTGGTCACATAAACGCACATTCTGAGTGCGCTCAATGTAGGTGCGTAGCACACGCACTGGACAAAGACAATGCATCCTCCTCTGCTCGTCAGATGCAAAAGTAGGGGAGCAAAAGCTCAGCAACTCAAACTCCATTGAGCTATAAGATACGACCTTGTGGCCATCAGGAGAGAACTGTGTGCAGGAGGGATGCACAGACAGCGAGAAGTAATGCAGTCTTATATGAAAGGAATTTCATATCCACAGACTCAATGGGTTC